GGGTGGGACCTCTGGCATCCCAAAGCGGTTCTGGTGAAAAGTCTGGATCTACTGCTGCCTCCAGACAGCACTGCTCTACATCCCCTGGAGATCTCAAGCTTTTGTTCCAGAAAAAGGTCAACGCAGAGGATGCTTTCCATGGCAAAGACATTCCCAATTCTAAGTTCTCCCCAATGTCTACACTATATCCCTCATGCTGAAGTGTGAAGACCTCCACACATCTGCACTGTGAATGCGGAGGGGACTTGCTCAGCGGAAGTCTCACCTACCTTCCTTGGAGAGAAGTGGAGGCCCAGAAGGGGCTCGAATCCGAAATTTCTTCAACTTCTTTTTTTTGTTTGTTTGTTTTTTTGTTTTGAGACAGAGTCTCGCTCTGTCTCCCAGGCTGCAGTGCAGTGGCGCGATCTCGGCTCACTGCAAGCTCCGCCTCCCGGGTTCACGCCATTCTCCTGCCTCAGCCTCCTGAGTAGCTGGGACTACAGGTGCCGCCACCGCGCCCGGCTAATTTTTTGTATTTTTAGTAGAGACGGGGTTTCACCGTGTTAGCCAGGATGGTCTCGATCTCCTGACCTTGTGATCCGCCCGCCTCAGCCTCCCAAAGTGCTGGGATTACAGGCGTGAGCCACCGCGCCCGGCCGTATTTCTTCAACTTCTGTGCAAAAGGACAAAGGTATGGGAGACTGAACGCTCCCACACTCCTTTCCTGCTCCTATTTCTGATATGCAGGTTAAAAAAACATTCACGGCCATGAGTGAGGAGGACTCTGGGTTGTTTCTAACAATGCTCCAGGACACTCTGAGGGGTTCTACTGGCCTCAGCTATGGAGGGCTTGCCTAGCACTCAGCCACCTCAGTTGCCAGCTCCTCCCTCCCAGGAAGTGGGGATAAATGTGAGGAGGAAGCTGGGGTGGGCCTTTTCCACTCACAGCCGCAGTGCGACCTGGGGGATACGGCCCAGCCTGGGACAGGGAGTGTGTGTCCTGCCTAACCTGCATGAGGCCGAACTCCCCCAGAGGTCAGCCTCATTTTCTCTGGCCCTGTGGGAGAAAGGTGTGTGGTCTGCACAAGGAGAAAAAGTCGAGGCTGTGCTGCCCATGGCAATGCTGTCTAATGTTTCATTTGCAGGAGGATTTTCTGGTCTGTCTTGTGTAGAATTTCCAGGCACCTAAGTGCTGTCTCCTCGGTGCAATCACGAACTCCTCAAGGAGGGGGACTCTATGTTCCCTTTGCTTAACTCAGAGCCTGGCATGGAGGGAGTGCTGGTTCGATGCTAGCGACTGGTTACGCACAGACTGTTCCCCCGGTGCCTGGCCTGGGGCAGACATGCAGCCGTCGTGACCTGAGCTGTCATCCCCAGCATCCGGGATAGGCGCTCATTGAAATGTCATCCACGATAATGAAAAGTGAGTGTGTGGAGGTGCCTGGGAGATATTCTCACAGCTCACCAGAACCCGCTCTTCTCCTCGGGATTCCTCTAGGCTCCCTCCCAAATCAGGCCATCCCCAAGAGCTTCCTCCCACTTCCTCTCTAAAACCTGAAAATGTCCCTCCCACAAACAACCTCACACCTCCAAACTCACTTTCTAGATGTCTCAGCGTCACGTAATCTCACCCTGAGTCATTTGTAAAGAATCCCATTTTCATGTCCTATACCCTGTTGGGATTTCCAGTCTCTTGCTTGGCGTCTGAGTTGCAAGTGCCTTTATAGACAGGCCCGCCAGCAAGGTGCGACCCACCTTTCTTTAAAAAATAGAAGAGACTGGAAGAGGCTCTAGTAGAAAACATCAGAGGTTGCCAATAAGGAAACTGATGCACAGAGAGGTAATGCAAGTTGCCTGAAGTCACACAGCTGGTAAGTGCCAGTGGCTGGGCAGGGGCTCCAGTCCTTCCTGCCTCCTCTTTCAGTGCCCTGCTCAATACGGTCTGCAGTTCTCAGGTTCTGCATCTGGAGAATACCTCTGGAATGGGACTGGTCAAAGAGTTCAGTGAGTCTTCAATCCCAGCACAGTTCCCTAGCCAGGAGTGGGCCTTGATCAGCTGACTCCAGAGCAGGCATGGCTGGCAGGGACACTGACTGAGGATGGGCATGGAGAGGCTGGAACCTTTGCATGAGCTGGTTGTGCATATGCAACCAAGAGCGGCTTGACTTTTATCTCAACAACGTTTCAAGCACAATTACTAAATGAGGACAAACCGCTAATAGAGGCCCTTAAAGATGGATCTCAGGGCTAAGCAGCTCTCCAGCTTGTTTCTTCCTGCAGAAATGCAGGCCAGCAGAGGAGGTCCTGCAGATGAGATGCAGGCTAAGGCTGGGTAATTGCCCACCGGTTCAGACTGCAATTATCTCCTTAGAGAAGAGAAGAACGCCTTCCTTTCTGGGAGAGGCCACTTAACTTTTGCTGTGGCTCCTCCAGGTGATCCGTGCTGCAGCTCAGAGGGGAGAAGGGGTGAAGTGGGGTCAGCAACTAATCCAGTCCCCTCATTTTACAGATAGGAAAACCAAGCCTCAAGAGAGGCTGAGAAATTTGAGCAGTCACAGAGCTAGCTGGTTGCAAAGCCATACATGACTCAAACCCAGAACTCCTGATTCTCAGCCTCCCACTTTCCAAAGTTACAGGCTAAGCACCTGGACACCCTGTTAAAATGCAGATTCAGTGGGGCTGGGGGTGAGGTCTGAGACTCTCCATTCCTAAGATGTTTCCAGGTGATGCCAACATTGCTGGTCCATGGACTCCACTTTGAGCAGCAAGTCACTACACTGTTGTCTGGAAGGATACAGGGATCCTTAAACTTAGCCTCTGATTATACTGATGCTCAAACTCTCCACTTCAGCCAGACAAATCCTCTAAGACTAATAAAGATACTTATTTAAAATACTAATAATTATTATTTTGACATTCATTGGATACTTATGTGCCAGCACTGTTCCAAATACTTACATGCATTATCTCATTTAATACTCAAAACTCTGTGAGATGGATACTATCCCTATCTTACAGATAAGGAAGCTGAGACTCAGAGAGGTTAGGTAACTTGTCCTAAGTTGTGTAGCTAGTAAATGGCAGAATCAAGAATCAAACTCAGTTCTGTTTGATTCTTTTTTTTTTTTTTGAGACGGAGTCTCACTCTGTCGCCCAGGCTGGAGTGCAGTGGCCGGATTTCACTGCAAGCTCCGCCTCCTGGGTTCAGGCCATTCTCCTGCCTCAGCCTCCTGAGTAGCTGGGACTACAGGCGCCCGCCACCTTGCCCGGCTAGATTTTTGTATTTTTTAGTAGAGATGGGGTTTCACCATGTTAGCCAGGATGGTCTCGATCTCCTGACCTCGTGATCCGCCCGTCTTGGCCTCCCAAAGTGCTGGGATTACAGGCTTGAGCCACCGCGCCCAGCCAGTTCTGATTCTTAATTAGGTAATAGCTACATAAAAATACACTCTTTAATCCTTCCCTTCTCTGAGCTTTGGGAGCCTCTCCCCAGAATGTTCTTAACAGTCCTCCAGCCAAACTATGTTTCCTCCAGTGATACTTGGCCTCAGCTTCCTCATAATACAGAGTCCTAAGAGCCCTTTCTCCCCAGATCTGTGTATACCCAATGGACCTCAACAAGTTATTTTTAGAGTTGAGGTTGGGGAGACACAGGACGAAAAGGAGCCGGGACTCAGAATAACGTGTAAATAGATGATCTACAAGTTATTTTTACAGTTGAGGTTGGGGAGGCACAAGATGAAACGGAGCCGGGACTCAGAATAATGTGTAAATAGATGATCTACAAGTTATTTTTAAAGTTGAGGTTGGGGAGACACAAGACGAAAAGGAGCCAGGACTCAGAATAATGTGTAAATAGATGATCTACACAGCAAGACACATGGTGATCTCTTCTTGTGCAATTAGAGGCTGCACGCTTGCTCTAAGACTATTTCGGCACAGACTCTGAAACTGCCTTCCAGGCTTTGCTGGAAGTATCTGAATGGAGGAGCAGGTGGTCTGTGGAACTGCACAGCCATGGGATTGTTGAGGATTCCTTCAGAATTTGAGCAAATCTCTGGGTGTGGACAAGATTTCGTGGCAGAAGCAGGGGGCAGGGCCTCCTCTGTATGCTTCCAAGCTCTACTCAAGCCCAGCCCTGTGTTTTGGCCTCACCTTCAGGGTTATGAACCATCCCTAGTCATACCACGTCTAAGTCCATGTTCACAAAATGCGAGCTCACGGCTGTAAATGTGTGTTAAAGGACTAAGAACATCACGGTGCCCACAACCATGCATTGATTCTCATGAAGGGACTGGTGTCTAGCGGGCTTGCCCCAGTTTTGTGATATACCTGCCTCTTCTGACTCTGGTTCAGTTCTTCAGCAGCTGCTTCAGATGTTGCTTAACTTGCCTGGTCCTGTCTCCTGGAGAGGTCTTGGAGGCAAATATGGCGGATGAAGATACATGAGGCCGTGATGGGAGAGAGCGGCCAGGAGGAGGGACATTCAGCAGGGCTAGAGGTCACCTTACCAAACATGCCACCTCTGCAAAGTAGGCTGATCTGGCACTGGGGGATGGCCCAGTACGTTGGGGCCTTACTGCCTGGAGGGAATCAGAGTGATTTTTCTTCTGGTCACAGGCACCTGGCTAGCTCACTCCGAGTCCTGGCTCTACCATTTACAAGCTGTGGCTTCTGGGGTGTACTACTTAACCTTTCTGGGTTTCCAACCCTCCACCTGCAAAATGTGCAGATAATAAATGTGCAAAATGATGACCAGTCCCTACTTCAAAGGGTTGTGGTGAGGACTAAATAAGCTAGTGTATAAAAAGTATTTAGAATAGTGCCTATCATATAGCTTATAAAGGTGAGGGAGAGCTTAAAAATACATATATCGTGACAGACATATGGCCTGGTCCCCACTTTGGCAGACAGCGATAAGGAGGCATCACCCAACGTTCTGGCAGAAGATCTAAGAGAAAGTGCACTGTGTGTCTCTTTCACACAGAGTTACAGAAAGTGGCTGACACTGGGGTACCCACCTTTTTAGGGCATACTCCAGTTCATTCTTCTCCTCATGGGCTTCTTGGAGCTGGGAGAAGATTCTGGTCAGGAAATCTTCAAAGTTGGATAGTAAATGAGGTTCATCCTTCTTCAGCTGTAGCCAGAGCTGCTTGACATCACTTTCACTGCAAGAGAAGGGATGCTCATGCGGAAGTGTGGAAATGAGGCTTCACGGGAAATACAGAGGTTCCCAGATAGGAAACTGACAGCCAGAAACAGTACCGTCAGAATCACCATAAAGATGACAGTAGCTAACGTGGACCGAATGCCTGCTGCATGCGAGGAGCTTGAAGGGTATCAGCTCATTCTGTCCTCACAGTAACCCTATGAGGCAGGAGCTGCAATTACCCCATTTACAGATGAGGAAGCAGGTGAAGAGAGGTGGAGGGAGCTGTCTAAGATCACCCAGCAGTAACTGATGAAGTCAGGGGTCCAGATCGGGCTCTGTCTGACTCCGGTGTTGGCCTCCCTCCCCACCTCGCTCCGCTGCTTCTGTTCTCCTGTGGCCTTCACGATGGGCTCATGGGGCTGAGTGTGCACAGCAACATGCTCGGGTGCATCTCCAAATGCCAGGAAGAAGACAGGACAGGAGCCCGGTGCATGTGAGGACACACGCTATGGAGCTAAAGGAGAGAGCTGGTTGCCTCCAGGAAGGATGGTCCTCACTGCTGAAAGGTAAAGACGTGCCATGTGATGGACGGCAGAAAGCAACTGTCACTGCAGGAAGGGAAGAGAATATGCAGCACCCCGCTGTGGCCTGGTGACACTAGGGATGACTGACAGGCAAAAAGAAGGGAAGGAGCAAGTCTGAAAGATGTGCGCACACAGAAGGACAAGGCGAGAGAGATTGGGGAGACCAGGAGGCCAATAAACAAAGGCTCAGAGGTACGTGTGTACATGGCTCAGTGGCAGAGATGCAGGGGCTCAGGCTGATACCCAGGGAGGGAATGAGGGGGAGATACACATGGTGGACCCTGTTCTCCCTTTCTGGAGAAACCAAAAAATCTGTAGTCAACGATCAAGCTAAGTTAAACACAAATCTGAAAGAGGATAGGTTTTAATTCAACAAAAGTTAATAATTTCTCACAGCTAGTAGGCAATAGAGTGTTATAGCATCAAGTTTGAAAGTTATAGAACAATAAACAGTAGAGTTCAAGTGAAACTTCACAGGCTAGTTTATTATAAATTACCAATTCAACTTTGTTCCAGCAAAGTAGAGAATAAATATAAATCTTATCCCCCAAACAATCAGGTTTTTGATTTTTTAAATTAATGGGCACATATGTATTTTCCAACACTTTTTTCACATCTATAGAACAAGATGTAATAACTAGCTCAGTTCATTGTCTTCTGAAAGTCTTTTGTTACTTAAATATTCACTCTGTGTCTTAATCTTTCAAGTTTCCAGCTATTGAAAATATAAGTCCTTCACCTCCTTCCATCCTTTCAACATAATTACATTTTGATTATTTACTCTGTTAAACTTTGAGACTTTATGTAGTGTATATTTCACATTTAATTTAATTTAATTATGGAAAATCGCTTATGATCCTCGTCTTATGAGGATAAAGTTATCTGTATGCCTATACTTCTCTTGAGCTCTTTCCAAAATTTGCTTGTCCATGACAGTCATCTGTACCTTGACAATCTGTCACCAACAGATTCCTGTTGGCTCCCCAGGCATCCTCAGGATAAAGAATAAAATTACCCGTGCTTATATAACAAGCATTATATTTTAGAAATTTTCTTTGGAAGTGATATTTGATAGTGCCATGCTAGCAACGCCCCTGTGACATAGACATTACTCTCTGTACCCTGCAGAGAAGAGGCCCACTGAGAAGTGGGTGGTGACCTCCCATCCCTGTGGCAGGTTGTTCCCTGCTGTGGTCTGAATGTTTATATCTGCTACAAGTTCATATGTTTAAATCCTAACCCCCAACATGATGGGTTCGATAGGTGAGGCCTTTGAGAGGTGATTAGATCACGAAGGCAGAGCCCTCATGAGTGGGACTAGTGCCATTGACACTGTGTTCTATAATTAGTATTGTTTTAAAACTCTGTATGCCAATTCCCAAATATGATAATAAATAAATGTTTATACTATTATGACTACATAAATAATATCCCCGGAGAACCAGGACTTTTCCTAAAATTATGTCATTATTTGTTTTACTTCCTTTCCCTGTCCCACTTCCCCAAATCCCTTATCAGTTTCTTCTGGAAGTACCTCCCTAATAAATCACTTTAGGACAGAAACCACAAAAACAGAAACATAAATGTGACTTGTCTCCCATTAATATTCCAGAAACAGAAGATCTGAGGATAGCTCTGACCAGGAACCCTCAGGATAAGGAATAAAATCCTTTGTGCTTGTGTATTAAGCATTATATTTTAGAAATCTTATTCAGAAGTGATATTCAATAATGCCATGCTAGCAACGCTCTTGGGGAATGGACATTACCCTCTGCACCCAGCAGAGAAGAGGACCACTGAGAAACAGGCCCACCTCTGATCAGTTACCTGGTCATCTCTTTAACACTTCATCCCTCTCTCCCTCCTTTCCTTGTTCCATCACTTCCACCAGTTCTTTCTTCTATCCCATCCAAACATCCGCCTACTTACTTAGACCATCCATCCATCCATCCATCCATCCATCCATCCATCCATCCAACCACCCATTTCCTTATTAACTCAACAAGTATTTATTATGATCTACTGTAAACCTTGCACTGTACCGAATGTCATGGGTGAATCTGGGAAATGGGAGAAGAGGAGGTAAGGAACCTCTCTGTTTTTCAGAATGCGTTCCATTCCTCCCCACCCCACAACACACACACAGCATGTTGTGGGGGGTCTTATTTCATCCTACAGGTAAAATTTAGATGTGACAAAGGGTTCAGAGATAAGAGGGTCTCAGAGAGACACCATGGTGACCTCCCATCCCTGTGGCAGGTTGTTCCCTGCTGTGGTCTGAATGTTTATATCTCCTACAAATTCATATGTTTAAATCCTAACCCTGACGTGACGGTATCAGAAGGTGAGGACTTCGAGAGGTGATTAGATCATGAAGGCAGAGCCCTCACGAATGGCACTAGTGCCCTTATAAAAGAGTCCAGAAGAAGCTCATTCACCCTTCCTGCCAGATGAGGACACAGTGAGAAGACAACTGTTTGTGAACGAGGAAATGTGACCTCATCAGACAGCAAATCTGCTGGCACCTTGATCTTGAACTTCCTGGCTTCCAGAACTGCCAGAAATAAATTTTGGTTATTTATAAAGTACCCCATCTATGGCAGTGTATTACAGCAAACCAAACGAATTGAGACATGCCATCACGAAGTAAACGCATTGTAAAATCAAGGTTCACCTTGCCAGCCTAGGTCTGTCTGTCCACACCTGCCAGGTTCCTGTTGGAGCCAACTGAGCTAAAGTCCCAGCGAGATTTGCAGACGCACCTGCTCGTCTTCCAACACTCTTTGAACTACTTAGTCATGGCAACAACAGCTTGCCCCAGATTTCTGGGAAAGGGACAAGTCTTCCAGCTTTTGATGAAAAACAAGCCAAAGCTCACTAAGCTGTCAAATCACTCAACCAATCAGGCCACCAAGAAAAGCCAAAGTGCAGATGTCCAGTCTCGAACTTCTAGAGCACACCAAGGCCACTCCTCCTGGGAGGATACGGGAATATAGGCTAGAAGGGATTCTGGGAGGTTTATCAATCGATTTCACTGCTTCCAGGACAACATACAAATCATTTCGGTGAGCAAAATCTTCAAAGAGCCCTCAAATCTTCATAGCCTTTTCTATTTCCCTATCTGAGGTCTCACAGCCATGAATGTTTCCCTCATGCTGCAACCTAAGCCCACTTCAGTGAGGATGGAAGTGGCTGGTCACCATCTTCTGTGTATCAGTTTTTACAGACCACTCTCGAAACCTCCACGAAACCTCCTCTTCTTCGGGACATCTCATTTTGGCTCAGTTCTGCACTGGCCTTTGCTATAGGTCCTCAGAGTCACGTCTGGTGGACTCTAATTGAGAACCCTGCCAGGAAGGCTGCTGCCCTGCAGTGCGGGCTGGGTGGAGAGGCCCCTTCCTTCCATTACAGCACCTCAGCTCGCCTGCACTGCCTTCTCCTTCCCCCTTCTCCAGGAGGAGGTGTCACACTGCCACCAGGAATGGTCTCTGTGCTCTGGCCTTTGTTCTTGGAGAAGCTGGGTCAGGTGTATGACTAATGAACTTCCCACCCACCTGTGCCCCCTCCACCGGCCCAGCCGCACTCTCTGTGATCCACACCTGCTGCAGCCCCTTCTAGGCCTCCAGCAACGCTGCTACTGCTGCTGGTCTTGAGATCCACTGCCTGCGTAGCACCCCCACCAGGATCTTTCCTAGGCCCTTGCCTATCCCTTTCTTGCCTGGAACACACTTTTGCCAGTCTTTCCCAATTCTGCCACAGTCTACCAAATCGTTTGCTGAAAAATTCACAGAGCTTCGTCCTGCAAATCATATACAGGCCTCTTCTCTCTTGCCTCCTCTTTATCATTTCCCACCGTAGCCCCTTCTCTTCCCAAGCTCAGGAAACGTCAGCTGCAATCAGTAGGGCATTCCCACCCTGCAGGAAACACACACCTAGCCCAAGATCTAGAGACCCCAAAACAAAAAGGCCAAAGGCAGAGGCTAAAGGGGCAGAAGGTATTACATGCTTTTCAGGCCCTCTGTTTGGTTTCTCCTAGCTATAACATCACATTTTGCTTATTTTATTTGACTTTACTTCAATGTCAGGGCTTAGATCCATGTGTCTATTCCAAAGCACTTTTTAGGGGAAAAAAAAGGTGGAGGGGTAATTATGTTTTGTTTGAGATCCCAGCCGTCTAAAATTTTCCAAGTAGTGGCCTGCTAAAAACAGGTTAATTTCCCACCTTGGCTTGCTGCACAAGCCTGGTGTGTTGGGGACACAGTGTGCAAATGCTGCTACATGATGGGCTTTTGCCAGGAAGGCGCCCACAGCGGGGGCAGCTGGGAGGCACCGTAGCTGTAGAGACCCAGGAGAGGTAAAGATGCCGGGGAGCTGACGGTGATAGGAAGCCTTAGTGAGAACTCCCTGAAAAACCCTGAGGGCGTGGTACAGACCTCTGATGTGTGAGTGCCCCTTGGGGAGCGAGGCTGAGCCAAGGACTGCGGGATAACGCATGGCCGGGAGTGAGGAAGGTGCGGGGGTGGGAGAGAAGGAGAACAGGAATGTTTCCTACAGAAAAATAAAGGAAAAAGCAGAGACAGAGCCCAACACGCAGTCAGGTCATCACAAAGGACAGGCCCCCCATTGGCAGAACCAAGGGGCCTTTCCCTGTACTGGAAAGCATATGGTTAACAAAGGTTAATTGTTGAATGGACACAGGAAGAGGCTCCTCTCAGGTTGGTCTCCATTCTACAAATCACTGTCACCACTTACTCTTCCAAAACCTTTTGGGCTCCAAGTCTGTCCATCAGCATCTGGAACTGGGCTTCCTCATCTTCGCCCATGTCTCCCAGATCCTCGTCCCCTCTGGACTGATACACCTTCTCTTCGTGGCGCTGGGCCACCTGCTCACCTGCATCTTCCTGACTTGGGTTATTCTGGCTGAAGAAGAAGTGACCTAGGGGGTGCAGGACATAAGGATCTGAATTAGACCCACCCACCCAGGAAGAGTTCAGCTTTCTCACCCGCCGGGAATCACCGAAGGTTCGTCTGAGAGAAGGAAAGGGAAAGCCCCTCCAGTGAAGATCCATGGATGTAGGTCCGTGGACACATTCCAGATTCTGTGTCTTTTCCACTTCCACAAACACCCCACCAGTGACGCTAGGATCTGGGAACGGCAGAATGCAAGACAAGTATGGTGCTCCTTTGTGGTTCTCAGTCCCTTGACATCTGGCTTAGAACGCACCTCTGTTGATTTCTTCTTTAAGCAACAAGGCCTTTCCCTGCACTGCATTCCAGCACCCTGACTGCAGAGGCGCCTATCGTCATCCTAGTCATCCTCCCGCTCGCATCACTAGACTTCACATCTATAAGCTCCTTAACAGTTTCCAGTGTACTTCCTCCATACGCATACTGTCCAGTATTACAGCACTCTGTCTTATCCTCCCAAGTCAATTAGAAGCTCCTGAAGGTCAGGAAAGGCATCAGATACTTACTAGAAAATTATATGGCCCCACACATGAGGCAGATGTGTGGTAAAATTTGCCTTTGATGTATCTGATAGGATAGTATGTCTGGTTTCTTTATATTGTTCATAGATCTCAATTCGCTTTCCTCCTGGTTACCTTGAGAATGGCTAGTCTGTTCAAACCTTCTAGAAATTCCACTGATAGCTGTTATCCCTCAGCCTGGAAAATTCAGCCAGACTTGGGTTGGAATGAGCCATCCAGTTGTCCCACCTTTTGGCCATTTTTCTATGAAGGCAGAAAAGGAGAGGCTGCAAATCTCATCACAGCTCCCCCTTTGATGCTATGCCTTCTGCAGAGCTTCCGTCCATCTCCCTTGCCAGTCCCAGTGGCAGGGAACTTGCTAATGGCAGTGCAGTGGGCACTGAGCAAGCAGCAATGTCAGCAGTTGAGACGGGCATATGAGGAGACCCAAGCAATCCAGAGCCTGGAGACCTTGAGCTCCAGGTCCCTGAAAGGAGGGCAGGAAAGCTTTACTCCCTGCCCCCCAGGTCTAGAGGGAACAGGAATGCACCTTAAACAGTGCTAAGTAGACCCATAACCCTGAGGTGCCCAGCACCCATCAGAACTTACTGAATCCAGTAGTAAACTCCTCTGGGGTCAGATAGCCATTGCCATCAGCATCCAGGGCATCAAACACATCCTCCAGTTCCTCCAGGCTGAGCGGTAGCTCCTTATGCAGCCTCTGAAAACAACCCAGAGTGTACTGGTTAATACTGACACTCACCGGTGGTGGGGGTGACCTGGGACTGCAGAATCTTCTGCCAGAAAGTGTCTAGAGTTCGGCCCAGGCTACAAAAGCCAGTAGCAAGCTTCTGCATCCAGACTGCTTCACCATCCCCCTCCTCCTTTCCATGCTAGCACAACTACCATTGATTGGGTGCCTACTAATGTACTAGGCCATTTGCTAGGTGATTCATAAATAAATATGTAAATATGCATTTATCTATCTATCTGCATTTAATTCCCATGACAACGCTTTGAGCTAGGCACTATTATCGCTGTTTTACAGATGAAGTCTGAGGTGAAATTACCTGCTCCAAAGTCACATGGCTAGTAATGACATAGCCAGGAGTCAAATCCAGCTCTGATTCCAAAGCCAGCACTCTCAACATCTGTAAAGGACTCAAATTATACAGGATCAAACACTTTCAGGATAATACCCACACGGCGTAGTGTTATAAAGTTAATTGCAATCATGAATGTAAAGCATGTAACAGTGCCTGCATAGAGAAAGCATTCAATAAAAAGTAGTAGGGAGGCAGAAAGACAGAGAGAGACTCATGGCCCACTGAGGCCCCTCAAGGAGTGCATGGCAGAGCCAGGCTTCAAACCCTGTCTTCCCTGCTCTCCCTAAGCCCCTCTCCTCTCCCGTACCATGATGCAGGGGTGGGTCATTTACTTTTAAAGGCCCCTCCTGCTGGAGGCCCCTGGTGTCCCAGTGCCTCAGCACTGCATTTGTGTCTGCAGACACACATTTTGGTCCTTGAGTTCTGAGAGGATATGGGATAATCCCCCTTCCTATCTCTGAGTGACCCACACCCAGGCCCTGAGTCCAGGTTCCGCTCCAGCTCCCGGCTGACTGGTAAGGAATTCCTAATAAGATCTCAACTGCCATTGGCTTAAGGTATCAAGCCCCCAAGAGTATTTGTGTGTTAAAGGGGGACTGGACAAGACAGTCCCCCTTGGAGGAGGTCATCGCTGGATTTGAGTCTAGAACAGACTCAGACCTCACAAGGAGGGAAGGGCAGAGACCAGCTGATGGCCCAAGAGCAAAGTAGCTGAGCTGCTGCTGCTCCCTTCTGGCCTTCTGCCTGATGTGCAACGGCCTCAGGCCAAGGCTAATTTGCATAGTTGAAGCAAGTGTCCCCTCATAGCCAAACAATCTAGGTCTCCAAATGAGAACTCCCCAGAGAGTTCATTATCTCTCAGCCGACCATCTCCCTTCCTCCCAGCTACCTAAGCGGTAACTGCAAAATTGCCAGTGTGCAAGTGACTGACAGCTGAAGACAGTGAATACAGGGCTTTGTAAGAAGAAAGGTATATACCAACCTCAACAATAAAAAAGAGCTGGGAGGTGCGAAAGCCCATAACATAACTGGCAAGAACACTTGGCTTGATCCTATGGCAGTTCTAGCGGATAAGCCATAAAGCTTAATTTGGCAGGTACATGCATTAAGAGAGACTATGATGCATTATGAAGTGCGAAGACAGGCTGATGTGGAAGCCATTTGGAAGAATTGAATTAAATATGAATGGGCTTTTCAAAAAAGGAAGGAGAGTGAGAGAGAGTGTGCAAAGATTCTAGAAGTACATCTGCTTAGCATTCAGCAGAATCTCTGACTTATCAACAATCCATAAACCAGCTGTCTGAAAAGCTACAGTAGGAGAACACAGGGTGAGGAGAGAGTCAATTTTGCAAGCAGGGATTTTATTAGCATCATTGGAAATAAAAAGCATCACACCTGAGGTAGGGTAAAAGCGCAAGCTCCTGTCAGGCTCACATCCCTTCCTTGGGATAATCCTTCCTCCTTCCCCACCCTCAGCCTAGGATTGCTGGATCTGATTCAAAATGTGGTCTCTCACACTGGGCTGGAGCAAGAAATGAGCTGCAAGAAAATTCCAGAGATCAACGAGACCCTCAACATGTCTTTCGCCCAAACACCCCACACACTTTTCTCTTATTAGCATGAACCAGGAGAGGCTAGTTCACACCTCACCTTAGGCACCATTCCTGGATCCAGCAGCACTTCCAACCCCAAATCCCCCTGTTGTCTAATCCCAGTCCTTCTTGTCTACATCTCAAGCCAGTTTCTTCCTTTTGTTGTCAGCGAAGATGGGGAAAGCAATATTATAGGTTCCAAGTAATTCTTACTCTTCATGTCCTGGCAAATGAGCGCTGAGTGCTTCTTCAGCCTTCTCTGCAACTGCACTACACCTGATTCTTTAACCTTGTTTTGTGGGCCCTCCTTGAAAAATCTTTTAGTCTTAATAACCATAATTATCTCTTATTTATCACTCTGCTCAGGGCCTGCAGAGCTACAGAAAACCAGCTTGTTCTGGTATGGTCCCCTGGTACTGTTTACATTATTTTTGTTATTTTTATTTTTTTTTTGAGATGGAGTCTCGCTCTGTCACCCAGGCTGGAGTAGAGTAGCGTGATCTGGCTCACTGCAACCTCCACCTCCCGAGTTCAAGCGATTCTCCTGCCTCGGCCTCCCGGGTAGCTGGGACTACAAGCGCCCACCACCACGCCCGGTTAATTTTTGTATTTTTAGTAGAGACAGGGTTTCACCTTCTTGGCCAGGCTGGTCTTGAACACCTGACCTTTTGATCCACCTGCCTCAGCCTCCCAAAGTGCTGGGATTACAGGTGTGAGCCACCGCACCTGGCCTACATTTTTAACTAAGTGAGATAAGCAGGGTGGAGGGGAGCAAGATGATTTATTCCACTGTGCAATAAGCCTGTGAGGCTCTGAGATTAGCCTAAAGTCACAGTGGAGACCACAGCTGGGAAAAGAACTGATTTTCCATCCAGGGCTTGAGCAACTGTCTAACAGTTCTCCAGTGCATTCATTCTGTTATTCCCTCACTGTCATTACCGCCCACACCTACCCACCTACCAGCACCACCAAAAGCAGAACACAAAGTCTCCCTTGCCAGCACTACCAAGACCCAGCCTTCCAGAGATCCTGTGGCACTCACAGCTTTTCACGCACCTGGAAGGGCGGGCCAGGGAAAACGAGAGGCACGGGGAGGAACCCAGTCTCCTATCCGTACTGCCCATGGCACTAGGAGCTCTTGAGAACTCCTTTAAACACCAGCCTCACTCTTCACTCTCATCTCCAGCATCGCTTCCTCCCTAAGGCCTCTGCAACTCCCCAGGTTAGGTCAGGTTATGCAAGCTCCCCAGACTACCTTTCTCTCATTCGTAAGTCTTATCTCGATGAGCATTTCATATACTGACAGATGTGATTCGTTGATGAATGTCTGCTCCCTCAGTGCTCTGAGAATGGGGACCTCATTCGTTAGGCACTGTTGTGCCCCCAGGATCTAGCCCAATGCTGACAAACACGAACTCGTGTTTGTTTAGATAAGTGTTGAAGGAAGGCATGGATAAGCGCTTGACTAAGAGCAACGGCAGGAGACCCTGAGCTCCCATGTACAGAGTGCTGGTCTAGACTTCGCACACTCCAGATCCTGACCAGCCCAACTGCTAATTCTCAGCAAGACTCATAGTGACCGGCAGCCTTCCAGAACCCGGAACATGGAGCATCTACAGCAGCAGTACTGAGAGTTCATGCCCCAGAGCCATGGAAAGTGGTGTCTTTGGTTGCACTCCAGCCAGACTCCTTTACCTTCCTGGTCACCAGCCCACTAACACACCCCACGTAGCTTAAAGCATATGGTTGCACAGCTTCAAACATGCTTCCATGGCATTTTTATTAAGGAGAAATCAGAAGATATCCATTTTTTATGTCCAGAATGACACTGTCCCTCCTTCTGGGGCATTCACAGCATTCTTTTCAGATGCCGTTCCAGCACCAACCACCCTCTTCCCTGTGGTACAGTTCAGCTATCCCAAATCTCTTTAGGACGAGAGTGGGAGGTGGAAGGGCAGGATCAACCTTTATCCTGCTTTGCACCTTCATGTGCTTGGCTTGGGCTGATTACGGGGTATAGGCCAGAGTTTCTCAATCTCGGCACTGCTGACATTTTGGAATGGACAATTTTTGGTTAAGGAAGGCAGGGGAGGGATCAACCTGTGTATTATAGGATATACAGCAGCATCCCTAGCCTTTGCCTGCTAAACGCTGGCAGCACTTCCCTCACCAGTCGTTTCAATAAAAAATGCCTCCATACATTGTGTAAGGAACTTGGCTGTGCTTTGGTCAAGGATAGACCGTGGTAGAATGTTTACATCCTCCGCGACTCAGCGAGTTTAGAGCACAGGCGTATAATTCCACTGGTTATCACAGCCACATAGCCATAACATGAGAAGGCCATCACGTGGCTGTACACCACTATTGTCTGTAAAAGGTATAATTGTCCCATTGACATTGTGCAGGCATGCTTGCGCTTGTGCCCACAGAAAGAGAGAGAGAGTCAGAGCTGTCTGTCATTGCAAACAGATTGCGGGGAGCCAGGACACACGCCCAAAGAAAGAGTTAATGAAGCTGCTGACCCTGAAGGCAAGGGAGAGCGGGCCATGAAGCTGTGTGTGGGGGCCGCCAGATTAAGTAGCCAAGACAGGGCGGATAGTGTGAGAAAGCTGTTGATGAAAGCTGCTGCTGAATAAAACCATATTCACCTGCCTATGACCCCGAGTGTTGTTTCTGCTCATCACCCACTTCCTCTGGACCTCAGTTCGGGCTGGAACCTATCCCGAAGCATGACAATTGGCGTAGTCGTGAACATGACGCATTGCCATATGTCCTCCAGGAGGCAAAATTGCCGCCACTCATGTAGATTGGACACAAAAATAACAGCAGCTGGATATGAGTGGAAGATTCCCTTTTCAGCAGAAATGCCCGTTTCTTTTCTCTAAGACAGGACAGACAACTTGCACCTTAAAACTGCAATGTGATGGTGCAGCTACTGTATAAAATGGTACGGTGTCTCCTCAAAAAATTTATAAAATAGAATTATCCTATAATCCAGCAATTTCACTTCTGGGTATATACCCCAAAGAATAAAAGGCAAGGACTTGAACAGATAGTTGCCCATCCATGTCCATATCAGCATTATTCACAGTCAACAGGTGGAAGCTACCCAAGTATCCACTGACAAAGGAATGGAGGGAAAAAACGTGGTATATACATACAATGGAGTATTATTCCGACTAAAAATACTCTGACACATGCCGTGATACGGATGAACCTTGAGGACATTATACTAAGTGAAATAAGCCAGTCACAACAGGACAAATATTATATAAATCCACCTATATAGGATACCTTGAGTAGTCCAATTCAGAGAGACAGAAAATAGAACGGTGGTTGCCAGGGGCTGGGAGTAGGCGAAATGAGGACATTGTTTCATGGGTACAGGGTTTCTGTTTTGCAAGATAAAGAGAGTTCTGTAGATATATGATAATGGTGGTTGCAGAAGAAAGTGAAAGTACTTAATGTCACTGAACTGCACGCTTAAAAAATGGTTATGATGGTAAATTGTGTGCTATCTGCATCTTACCACAGTTAAACACAATCACAGTGCAGAGGACATCAGGGACTGGGCTAAGACGTGGCACATACACAGTGCATTTCAACACAATCACAGTGCATTTCAACACAATCACAGTGCGAGGACATCAGGGACTGGGCTAAGACGTGGCACATACACAGTGCATTTCCAGGGATTTCCAGGTCCCAGTCTCAGGGCTGAGTGTGCTACATGCTTAAGCTCATTCAATTCTCTTTTAATGCTGGGAGGTAGCTATAAATAATTCACAGCTGAGAAACTGTAGCCTAGAGGGGTTAAGAGATTCACACACATTCGTATTACTAGCAAGTTGCAGATTGAGGATTAAAACCCAAGTTAATTTGCTATAAAAATCTTTTAAAATTTTCTAGTTAACCTAAATCAGGAGTTAGCCAGCTTTTTCTGAAAACAGCCACAGCGAGTGCATATTTTAGGCTGTGTGGGCCATTCGTCTTTGTCACAACTACTTCACTCTGCCACTGCAGTGTGAAAGAAGCCATGGAAAACACATAAAAGAATGAGCACATCTGTGTTCCAAGAAAACTTTACTTACAGAAACAGGTAGTGGCCCAGATTTGGTTAGTTTGCCAACTCCTAAATGACTCTTAAGTTTGGCATAGCCAAGAATTCTGGGCAGCGTTGGGGAGGCAGGTGCTTGGTGCTGGTAGATAATCCTTTTACTCCTCCAAAAACTTCAGGGAAACAGGGCTTTTGAGGCTCTAGGTTTTCTCAGAGAGATCTCCTGCCCATCCCCTCCCCATCTCCCTCTCCCTGTCTGTGACTTTCTTCCCACTTGGCTTCTCCATTAGCTCCTCAGCCTCCTGTGTTCTTCCTCCCACCTGGCCTGTGGCCTCTCCTTCCTTGAAGACCACTCTCTGCTGTCAAGGACCTTTCCTGCTTTCTGGATTTGTATGTGTATGAAAAATGTGCTCTTTCTCTTCCAGTTCCCATGACGCTGTGCTGGGAGCCTAAGGTAAAAAAGGCGGTGGTGCCCAGGCCCAGGAAGTTGGACACCAACCAAAGGCGGTGACCACATGTACACCACGGCCCCATGTGGAAGTGACAAGCCGACAACACAGATGCCTGGAGGACCTGCTGCAGGAGAACCAAGGGGCATGGGGACTTTCTGCAGAGAGCCACAGCTGACCATGAGAAGCCCCGTTTTTCTTCTTCTTCATTTCTTCATGCATCTCCCCCAGCCTATCTTCCTTCAGAGGTGGCCAGCGGAAGCAGCCAGAGATGATGCTTACATAACATGCTCTGTTCCCTCTCTTGACATCACTTGCCAGCCTGAAGAACTAAACATTTCAAATGCTTCATTGACCACAGGTTCAGAAAAGCGTCAGAAAATTAAGTAGACAGCGGAAATAAATGCCATGGATGCCAAGTTATCGGCTTGATGGCTTGTTGGTTCAGGCGTCCTCCTGCCTGGATCAGGAGTGGGGACTGGGGAGGAAGGCGGAGTCAGCATTTCTGGGACTTAATGTTTCTGACTATATTTCAAGTCAAATACAAGTGATTTCTTTAAAAATTTATACCTAGTTGAAATTCTCCATGACTCCTCATCCCTTCATTAAAGAGTGGGGCTCCATGAGAGTTAAGTTATATACAGCAAGAGTGCTGAGTTGCACAGTACATGTGGCCCAGAGTTGACCCTCCATAAATGTGAATTTCCTTTTCTTTCTTTCTAGAGGGAATAATCAAAAGTTAAGACTGATTTTGAAACCACCATCACCAACCACCGCTACCGCAGACCTGTGAATGCCAATTATGAAGTTCACAGGCAGGGGTTTGTGAAAAGTTTCCTCAAAACACATTGAATCTGGCCTTCCACGTGGTGAGGCTTTGGGGACTGGGTTTTGGGGAAACTTACTGGGGGAGTCATCACTGCAAAGAAGGGTGGGCTGGGCTCATTTGTGGGCTGAACTGGTGCTGTTCCCCAGGTCTTTTCCCTCAATTCGTGCAGCAGGTGGATAGTGGAAGAGCGCCAGGAGAAGCATAAGAACACCATCACATGGGGCCAGGGAGAGGAAGAACTGTCACACTTCACCGGGGGTCACAAGGTTCCTTTCACAGCCTCCATACCTCAGAGCTCACATGCACAAGCAGAGATGGGGCTGAGCCTAATGAGGGTCTGCATTTCATTGCCCGACTTTTGAATATTCTGAAGAACTAGACTTAAAGAGAGCCTAGCCATTGTGCTTCCTCCAACAGCACAGGGATGCGTCCCTTCAAAAACTACTCTGATGGAGTGAGTGACACAAAGACGGAGGGGAAAAGAGCTGCTTTGAAAGTCCTCTAGTGGAGTCTGTGTTTTATTCACCCACGTTCAAGTGAAATCCTGACTGTGGCATAACAGACTTTAGTCACACACTGAGAAGTTTTTGAAACTAAAGAAAGAAAGGCACCAGACCAGGAGTGGGCAAACTCTGCCCCTGGGCTAACCCAGCAATCCCCTATTTTGGTGTGGCTAGTGAGCTAAGCCTGGTTTTTACATTTTTAAATGGTCAAAAAGAAATATCAAAAGAATAACTGTACTTGGTGACACATGGAAATTATATAAAATTCAAACTTCCTTGTCCATAAAGTTTTATTGGAACACGGCAACCTCATTTGTTCACATATTGCCTATGGATGCGTTTGTGCTGCAAAAGCAGAGACAAGTAGCTGTGATAGAGACTGTAAGGTCCACAAAGCGGAAAATACTTATTCTCTGGACCTTTATAAAAAGGCTGCCGGGCACTGCACTAGGCAATGGTGTGCACTGATGCTCTGCACGCCATCTCTCTGGAGAATCTCTTCAGGAGAGTGCAGTGTGTTTGGGTTTGAAGGTGAGAGACGGATAAGACAACCTCAGAAATGCCTTCCTCCCACGTTGTGGGACACACTGTACCTATTCCTAAGGCACAGACAGCAGGAATGACTTTGTTATAACTCAAGTTGGTGCCTTTCTACTTTCAGTTTCAGCAGGTTCTTCTCTGTGTCTTACTTAAGTCCCTTATGTTACTACTATCATTTCCCACAATCCCAGAAAGTTACCGAGGCAGAGAGGAAACAGCCCTGGAGTCTGACAGCAAGTAAAGGCCAGAAATAGAATGAACCCAGGAGGTCCGGCTCCTAGTAGAGTTTGGTCAGACCTTTCCTTCCAAGACAGAATCGATGGCACCTTTTCTGTTAAGGATGTCACCTCCCATGGGGCAAGCTCTAACCCGAGACAGGGAGACATCTGGCATTCTCGGTGGGCAGACCTAGCGGGGACCCCACTTACCTGCATATCCTTCCTGGCGATGAAGCCCTTGCCTTCAGCATCACAGGTCTGAAAGAATTCCTGTGCCTTCCTCAGCATGTCCAGCTGGCCCGGCGTCTGCTCCTGAGTCTCCTTCTGCTCCAGGCTGTCCAGGGGATGCAGGCAGGCTCCACGCCCCTTTGGTCCCCGGCCAGACCCCTGACCAAGTCTTTGGGGTCTGGAGACTACCCTCCCATCAGGGGCAGCCATTGAGATTAGTCAGTTTCTTGAAGTCTTTTTCAGAACCTGAACATGGAAAATGGGAGAGAGAAGTGGGTGTGGTGGGTTGGAGTGAGGCTGAAAAAGAACAAGAGGGGATGAGAAGGAAGCACAGAGCCACCCACCAGTGTGTCCAGGCATCTCTTAGCAACCACCTCTTAATTAGCAAAAGCTCAGGACAAGGGGAAAATATTCCATGATCACTAATAGATTGGCAAGTCCATCAACGGGAGAAGGGAAGAGTGCAGAAAGAAGACAGACATCTCCAGATCGAAAGGAGATGGAATAGGGGAAGCCCAAAAATACTTTCTCCCAATTTAAACAACCAAACAACAACAAAACAGATCCTGATAGACCAGCTGCCATTTATAGAGCGTTCACTTAGACACCATGCCATGGCCTCTATATACATTTTTTTCATGTAATTCTCACATCTCTCTGACATAGCCATTATCATGTTCATTTTAGCGATGTGAAAACTAAGGCTCAGAGAGGTTGAGTGACTTGCCCAATATCACACAACAAATTACTACAAAAGCTGAGATTGCAATCCAAGCTGGTATAACTTGCATGATCTTAATCCCACCCTGTCGTGACTCCTCAGCATTGCCCAGGGTGGAAAGCTCTCCTCAGGCAGATGCACTTGCTCCTACATTTCACAGTCGACAAGTTCTTGGTGAGCTCTTACTCAATGTCATAGGCCTCTGCCACAGCTGTGAGCTCTGCAGTTTAAGTAGGAGAAAATGTACCCCATTCTCAAGGAGCTTCATGTCGTAAAGGACTTGCCAGGCCTGGTTTGGTGACGCCCAAGGCTGTTTTCAGCCCAAAAAGAATCACAAATCATACACCTCAATCAGACCTTTAAAGACCCTGAAGGAGTGTTTTCAGAGGGTATCTTGCAACGTGATGTGGAAGACGGTATACAGAAACCTGGCTTCCAGTCTGGACTCCACTGCTGCTGCTTATATGACCTTGAACAAGTCGGTACCTGACTGGGCCTCAGTTTCCTTATCCGTATGAGGAGACTGGACCTGTTTATCATTAAGGTCCCTTCTAGTTCTGATCATCTGTAAGTCTGTGAAATCCCCACATCATAAAATGCTATTAATTGTAAATGTTATTAATAGAAAACTGAGTTCATGGGATAAAAGGAAATAATAACATCCTTGGATTGTTTTTTTTCCATCTGAAGACTTTTTGGAAGCAGAATAGGTCCAAATTTTAAATACATGATCACATTTGGATTTAAAAATAGAGATATGCACTGTCATGCATTTTGTGGCAAGCTGGAGAACGTGATGCCCTGGATCATATTTCCTGTGTCCATGTGAGTAAGAAAGGAGGAAAATAAGTGAATCACCAGGCAGGTTTCTCTGATTACTAGGCCCTGGGCCTCTGGCTCAGCTATACCATGTCCAAAGCAATCTAAAATCTGTTGATTTCAGTGACCATCTTCCCCTTACCAGATTTGTCAAGAGCTGGGGGCCAGAGCTGGAAGAGCTCCTGGCATCAGGAATGAACTTCATGTAACAAGACCTTGACAGGACAGAGCAGAGCAGACTACACCTCTCGCTCCACGTGGCTGAACATGTAATTCCCACTCTGACTCATCTGACCAGCCCTGTCCTCAGGAAATGTTCTTTCTTGTCATCCCTGTGTGTGTGTACTGACCATCACCGAATCCTAAGCAGATTTCACATTTCTATTCTATCTTCCCCAGAGGGAGCTGCCTTGGATGTAAGCCTGAGGAGGCAGGGCTGTGTCTTCGTGGCTTTTATGTGCATTGTTCAACCCACCTGCATGCAGTGCTGGCTTTGCAAGGGCTTTTGGATAACGATGGTGGTAATGTGAGCTTCTGTAAATATAGCACATGAGCAGAACAGGCTGTTGTCTTCCTGGGACCTTGCTGGGACTCTATCTGCAAGGGCTCTGCACCCAGTAGGCCCCACCCTACTCCCACCTGCTGCTCCCAGGAGACGAGATTAATAATATCTGTCATTCCTTGAGTGCTTTCTCTTGCCAGGCCCCTACCATACTTCATCCTATTGAACCTGACATCCTCCCATATGGTAAGTATAATTAGGATTCCCATCATACAGATGAGGAAGTTGAATTTTGGAGAGGTTAATTTGGATCAAAGTCTAGCACAGTCAGAGACCTCTTCTGCTACACCACATCACCTTCCTGAGACCCAGTTGCGGGCTTGCTCTTAACAGGGTACTCATCCCCAACTGATCTAAATCACCTCCCAGAGGCATATTCATCATTTTAATGGGAACGTCTTTAATTCATTCATTCATTCATCCATTCATTTATTTCCATCTACTGATTACTATGCAGCAAGCTCTGAGCTAACACTGAGAAATAGTGTTAGGTGACATAGTGAGAAGGACATGGTCCCTGCCCTTAATGAGTGAGTCTCTGAGAGTCTCTAGTGGTGGGATTTCAATAATGGTGACTGATAATGGGGGAAAATGTTTTAGATTGAGTCCTAAATAAACTCTGTAGCAATCAACTACTATTAAATAGCTGTGTGACCTGAAGTGAGCCCTCAAGTCACTCTGGGCCTGAGAAATAGTAGAGAGGATTTCTTAGTTCCAGATCTGATGCTTGCTGGCTTTCTATCTTCCCTAGACCATTTTCCCTCTACCTCTGCCCACCTGCTAACAGGTGATGCATGACATGAAAGAGTCAACTAGTAGTTCTAGAGAAGTCAGCTATGAACAACCAGCAGACAGGCACCACGTCTTATCTGATTTTACCGCCAGTTTCTAGCCTAGAATATGGTACGTAGTAGGTACTCACTGACCATTGTGTGAAGGAAGACCAATCTTTTGCTGAAGTCTTCAGAGGAGGGCCTGCAAGCATTTTTGTTTCAGGCAGGTAGCTCTATATGTGGAATTTTTATCTTATAATAAGTCTAGACTTCTGTTTCCAGAAAAGACGTAGTATCAGAGGCTGGATTTACCCTCCCAATTGAAATAACCAAAAATCCAGAGAGAATATAACTTTAAAAATTGTTTTCAAGACACTAGACATCAGGAATGAAGGATGGTAATCCTTAAGCAGGGGCAGGACTATACTGAGCTGAGTGAAGCCCCTACAGAACAGGATTTAAAAAGACATTTACTCTCAGGACCTAACCCTGAACTTACACAACCCTGAGAATTAGTACCTTCCCAAGAGTCAGCTGCTTAGGGTACAAAATCTAAGGAGGCTTTCACTCGCAAAATTGTGCATCTGACAGTGATTTCTGTCTTAAATTTTTTTTATCATAGGGGCTTCACTCATCTTACTCTAGTTCAAGCTCTGTTCCTGAGAGATAGGAAAGAAACAAAATGAGCCCCATGTTTGCCCTGTCTTATTGTCCAAAGAGTTTTTAGGAAACACAGGCACAGTTTGGTAGACTACCTATGTTGAGGAAACTCAACTATATCCTGCTTACAAGAAATGTGTTTTACACATAAAGACACAAACAGTTAAAAGTAAAAGGCTGGAAAAAGATATAACACATTAACATTAGTTAAGAGAATATTGCATATTAATATCAGGTAAAACGGATTGCAGAAGGAAGAATATTAATGGGAATTAAAAAGTCATTTCATATGGATAAAAGGTCATCAATATGCTATAATAACGCTAAACATTTATGTGTCTAATAGCAGAGCTTCGAAATACACAAAGCAAAAACTGATTGAACTGCAAGGAAAAACAGCAAAGTCATAATGATATCCAAAGATTTCAATAACTTTCTTTCTCAATAATTTATAAAACAAGTTGACAGAAATCTATAAGGATACAGATGACTTGAACAACACTATCAACCATCTTGACTTAATTGATATTTATAGAACATTCCACCCAACAACAGCTAAATATACTTTTCGAATACACATGGAATACAGACCAAGATAATCCATATTCTGGGGCATAAAATCAGTCTTAATGAATTTAAAAGGATTCAATTTGTACAAAGTATGTACTCTGACCACAGTGGAATTACATTAGAAACCAATAACAGAGAGACCTCTGGAAAATGTCCAAGTATTTGGAAAGAGAGTAACACACTTCTAAACAACCCATGGGCGAAAGAAAAAAAAACAGGAAAGGAGAAATGAAAAAGTATAGTGAACTAAATGAAAAAAAATCACAATATATCAAATTTTGTGGGATACTGCTAAAGCAGTACTAAGAAAAAATTGATAGCACTAATCATATATACTCGGAAAGAAGAAAGGGCTCAAATCAATGACCTGAGATTTTACCTTAAGAAACAAGAAAAATAAATACAAATTAAACCCAAAGTAGGGAGAAAAAAATAATAAGGATCAGAAAAGAAAAAATGAAATAGAAAACAGAAAAGCAATGGAGAAAATCAACAAAACTAACAGCTGGCTCCTTGAGAAGATCAATAAAGAGAGAAGATATAAATTACAATATCAGCAATGTGAGGTGGTATCATTACAGATACTCTAGATATTAAAAGGCTAATAAGAGAATATCATGAATAACTTTATGCCAACAAATTTGACAATTTAGATTAGATGAACCAATTTCTTGAAAAACACTAAATACCAAAGCTCACTCAAGGACAGACAGATTACATGAATAATTCTATATCTGCTAAAGAAACTGACCTGATAGTTAAACAAAAAATCTTCCCACAAGAAAACTTCAGGTCCGCAGAGCTAAATTGATGAATTCTATCAAATATTTAAAGAATGAGTAATACCAATTCTACACAGACTCTTGAAGAAAATTGAAGAGTAGGAAATGCTTCCTACCATATTATATGAGGCTAGCATTACCCTGATACCAACACTGAACAAAGATATCACAGAAAAAAATAGGCCAATATCCCTCATGAACACTGATGTAAACATTCTTTAGGAAATTGTAACAGATTGAGTTCAACGCCATATAAAAAGATGATAATCCTGACCAACCAGGGTTTATCTGAGAAAGGCAAGAATGGTTTAACATTTAAAAATCAATAATGTCATTCACCATATTAACAAATTTTAAAA